ACAGGGAGAGAGAAGGGTGACAGGACAGGGACAGAGGACCAGGAGAGAAGAGGAAGACAGGACATGAGGAGGACAGGGAGAGAGGATAGACACAGGACATGACGAGAGGACCAGGAGAGAAGAGGGAGAGAGGAAGACTCACATGGAGAGTGAAGAGAGAAACAGAACAGGGAAAGAGGGCAGAAAGAGAAAAGAGGGAGGACAAGAAGCATTAAAGAGGGGAGAGTGGGATCGCTGGCGGGCAATGTTTACCGCAAGGTCACCGGTTCGGTGTTTCTTGTGTCGGCCCAGGAGGGGGTTGGGTTTTCCAGCTACTCCATCCCGGTGTCGCCGGCTCGATATGTGCTGGACAGTGAGAACACAGAGGATGGTTAGACATCAGCTCGGCTACCGAGCAGGGAAGACAGGGAGAAGAAATTGATCTGTAATGGTTTATGAACATTACCTAATTTCTAATGTTCCTTTTTCTAAACAACAATTCTGTGTTTAGAAGGTCTTAGCAAGCAGTGAAGTAATGACTGGAAAGTGTTGCCAAAACCACCTTGCGCCACCCGCAATTTCCTGTTGCCTCATTTCAAAGTTTCTGCTGCCTGTGGTTCTGTAATGATGCTTGTGCTTAGTCTGCAAATTCGTGTCCTCCGCGAGCGAACGGACAGAGTTCAGCAAAAAGACAAAGGTCAGGAAAAACTAAATGACTGGGCCAGAGAGAAGGCCCGGTGAGACGGGTGAGAATTAAAGGGCCTCTCTTTACACAAAGGGAGGTGGGAGTTTGAAACAACCATGTTTCAGACACAGATTCCCTGCAGTGGATCATTTAGACCCTTGGATCAATTAGCACCTTGCAGCCAAGACCAGAGAACGACAGGCAGAAAGAGTACTCTCCTCTGCTCCAAAGCCTTTCTGATGTGCGCTGTGTGCCCTGTCTTCCCGCACTGCGGTGTGGCGATGTGGCGATGTGGCGATGTGGCGCCCACCTGTTTGAGCTGCAACTCCGAGTTGACCCGCACGTTGCAGATCTCACAGTGGAAGGTCCGTTCCTGAGTGTTGGGGTCCTGGGGGGCCCCTCCCTGCTCCGCACTGGGCTTGGGCCCCAGACGTGGGTACGCCTTGATGGGCCCCAGCCCGCTCCGCGCTTCCAGGATGGTTTTGTGTTTGGTACCTGGAGGAGAGACAGAGATGAAAGACATTGAGAATGATGTTTGTAAAGGGCCTGGTCATCACGAGGGCAGCTGTTCCCTGGCTCTGCTGGGATCCATTCCCACTCTCTGGGGGGCTCAGAGCTCAGCTCCAGTCCCTAACTCTACCACACAACAAGACCAGTCCTCTGGCTCTGCTGGGATTCATTCCCAGTCTCTCGGGGGCTCAGAGCTCAGCTCCAGTCCCTAACTCTACCACACAACAAGACCAGTCCTCTGGCTCTGCTGGGATTCATTCCCAGTCTCTCGGGGGCTCAGAGCTCAGCTCCAGTCCCTAACTCTACCACACAACAAGACCAGTCCTCTGGCTCCGCTGGGATTTATGGGAAAACCAGAGAAAAGTTACACCAAAAGAGTCCCCTAAGGTCCTGAACGCAGCACAACTAAAATAAATTGGGTTCTGTGGGATTATTATTTTAAATCACGATTTTTTTTTAAAACCTGGTCCTTCATTGTTTGGTCAATACTATTACATAGTACATATTGGCTGAGACATCAGGCAGGATCGTTGACTCGTTTGCCATCTCCTGAAAGGAACTGAAAATTCATGTCTGCAAAATATACTCGACCTCAGAAGCTCACTACTCTCTGCCACGCCTTAACACTGTGCTACATCCTGGCACCTGACTCTGCACTGACTGCGGTGGGCTTGAGGCTGGTATCCGCACCCTTCACGTCGTGACAACATGCCAGTGTTAGTCACTGCGGATAAAAGCATCTCTCAAATGAAAACTCGTCAATGAAAATCCTGTTGAAAAATACAAGTGCCAGTATTCAGCAGAGGGTGAAGAGATAACACGTGACGTGACCTCCTTCTCTTTATTTTGTTGTTCGCTAGGAATAACAACACCCAAGAATTAATTGTCCTGAAAGGATTGCGGAGTGTTGAGTGAAAATTTGTCTTAACCCACTTGGCCGAGGGTTAACCTCCTGGCCAGAGCACGAGTGACCAAGGGGCAACTGCAAAGCTGGAGATTAGGTGGAGGAGGGATGCAAAAAGATATACAGTATGCGCGGAAGAGAAGTACAGTATTTATAGTGTTTTAGGAGAGGAAATGACATCAGGAGTGAATGCTAATCACTGATGGCAGAGTCTGACTGAACTTGGGTGTTGTCATCCCTCCTGAACTTTTGTTACAAACTCCATTAAAAAAGAACTTCTGTTTTTTACAGCTTAATGTAAAGACATCTTCCCTTGTCACTGAAGAGCACTGAAATAATACAGGTCCACTTAAAAGTTTGCATGAAATGAAATACTATGCCATTAAAAAATATACAATTAACAACAATTAGCCAGTCAACAGTGACCAGTATTTAAAATACGGAAGATAACACGTTGTGGACAGTGGTACCTGCTCTCCAAGCTGTGGTGATCATACAGTGATGTTGGGCTCATCAGTATTATTACCACCGGTATTATTATTAGGAATTACAAAGAACCTCTTTTAAAACTAGAACAGCAGGCACTTCTTTGCACAAAAAGTTGTGAGTCTGGAAAAAGCTCTCACACGCTGGTCATGCTGAAGAAGCCAATGCCCTCTTTTATTTCAAGAAACAACTCTTTGAGATCCTTAGATCCATCAGCTACACCCAAAAAAAGGGCTGGGTGTGGCACATGGCCTCCTCTCGTTTCTAACTTTTCTCCTGTTCTTAAAACTCAACAGGAGCTTAGCTGGGCCTGCGACTGTCTGGAGTAACACTTGGCCCGGGGTAACACTTCTGTAACGCCTCTGCTCCACTTGTATACCACACAACACTGACATGTGCTCTCTCCCTCCCTCTCCATTTCCTCTTCCTTCATAGCCTCTCCCTTGTCCTTCTCGTCTCTGTCCCGAAACAAGAATAAAGCATGGAGAATAAACACGGGTTTGTGCCCCCTCTACACTGTGCTTTGTGTTGCGCCTCACCTCCACATCATTGCTGTGCTCATTTGTACACAGCAGGAGTGTCTTATAGTCTCACAAGCACTTGGCTTACACACTCTGTTTTGCTGTAGCTGTTCCTTGAGGGATCATTTAACACACCACTAGAATGTGTCTGAGGAAATCCGAGCAGTTTGAAACATGCCAGGCCTAATCCAGCCCCCAGCTCTGACCTGAAGCAGAAGCACAGCGTTCCTCCTCCAAGCACAGCGCCAGAGACTGCATGCCCTGGGCAGAGTGTGAGCACGCTGTCTCAGAGAGAGCACAGAGGGACCCCCAGCTATTCCTGGGGTCAGAAGGCCTGTCTTAGGGGTGCCCACTCAGAGGCCTGAGGAAAGAAACACTTTCCTCTCCGTGACAGGTGCCCCAGCATTTGTGCACATATTTCCGTATCTGTGAGGCAGAATCTTCTCAGAGTTACGAACTCCTGAGAAGCAACTTTTATGAGGACCAGCGAGGAGGTCCTCCTGAGCTAATTCAGACTTAATCACTCAAAGGGCTTGTTTAAAAATGTAAAATCTCAAAGTGTACAAAATATTCGCCTCAGATCTGCTTTCGTCCCATGTGGCTTTTTCTTGTGGACGTTCCTGGGCAGAATAACGAAAAATCCTGAAAACAGAAGGAGAGTCAAAGGGAGGTCCCCATGAGTACAGGGATACCGCTGTGTGTGAACTCCACGGACTCAGGCCACCACTGCACAGGGCACAGACAGATGTTTCCGGCCTTCTCTTCCTTCATTCAGGCTTCAGAAAAACCCAAGAAAGGTTGCAAATGAGGCCTCACTGGTTGCTGATCAAAGGATCCAGACTGACCCCCAGGTTTGTGTAACCTCTCACGTGTTCTTGTGGAGAGGGTCTACAGGAGAGGGCCAGTCCTCCACCCTCCTGATGTAAGGAAGCGCCGGGTCACACACACCATCGGGCACTAGGAGGCGCTCACGCTCCGTGGTGGATTTCATGGATATAAAAAGGCTAAAAACCACAAGAAATCTGCAAAAAAAAAAACGTCTGTGAAGTCGCACCGCAGTGAACTTTCACAAGACAGCTGGGTGTGTCGGGGGAGGAATTGGAGATTAACATCTGGTGGTTTGCATGTAAAGAAAAGACTAAAAATAAATCTGGGCACCCAGATAGGTTTCTTTCCTTCCTTAAGACGATCGTTTCCTTCCTTGAGAGGCTTTTTGTTCCCCGAGTACGAACTGCTCGCTGGTCCTTCCTGGGTCGGACTGACGGCTCTCGGGATCCTTCTTGCCGGTTCTGTGACTCCGGGAGGGGGAGCTCTGTGGTGCGGTGTGACACAGGGCCGGGTCACGGCGGCAGCCGGGTGAAAGACGCACCCGCGGCCTTCTCTCCCTCCTTGTGCAGCCGTTCTATTTCGGAGGAGTGCGACAGTGTGGGCTGCTGTCTGTGTGTTTCTGTGAAGTCAGAGCTACCCGCCGTCGCAGCGCAGAGCTGACTCGGCACTCAATAACAGCCCCGGGGCTCAGCCACTAATAACACACGCTGCATGAGAGATTATCTCTCTGCGTGTCTGTCTCTACCTGCCCTGCGCTTGCACAAATGCCACTCTGACAGAGCCCACTGCCCCAGGCTTTTAAACATTTTATTTTGGAATTTGGCTTCATTTTTTCCAAATATGAAACAGTCAGTCTTTCCACTTAGGTCAATATTGACCCGTATTCAAAGGGAAGTGTTTTTTTTAAACTTTTGGATCCCTAGCGGTGATTGGCTGATTTAGTCAATACATCTCCTAACTGTCCTAGCAACAGCCTGCTAGCAGCCAAGGTGAACACTTCTCAGCTGACTCTGGAAGGAGGAGGGGAACTGTGAAAGTGGGATGTTGCTTTTAGGGGTGCATTAGGGTGACACAGGGTGATTGAAGTGAACAATTTGGGGAGGGAGAGTTTGGGACAGGGTGGCATAAACGTAGCTTCTCTAGGAAGTGTGGCTCCGGGCAGAGCATGCGGAAGAGAGACACAATTACCACTCCAGTTTGAAAAAATTGCTTCCAGACTCTTCTTGTTTTTGCAAAGTTTTCTCCTGGTTTCCAATCCAATTAGTCATGCATGCTGAACTCACACGCCTGATTGTAACAGGCAGGCGAGAAGACTGGGCAAACCAGTGCAGCCAGCTTCCTTGTGTGAACATGTGTGTGTGTGCGGATGTGTGTGAGTGTGCGAATGTGTGTGTGGACGTGTCTGTTCATGCTTGACTGTGTGTGTATGTGTGTGTTCATGTTTGAATGTGTGTGTTGATGTGTGTGCTCATGTTTGAGTGCGTGTGTGTGTGTGGATGTGTGTGTTTGGGTGTGTGTGGACATTGTGCAAGTTTGGAGTGTGTGTGTTGATGAGAGAATTCTTGTTTGTGTTTGTTGACATGTATGTGTACATGTGAGCATGTGTGTTTACGTCTGTGTTCATGTTTGAGTGTTGTGTACATGTGCAAGTATGTGTGTAGTTTTGCATGTATCCGTGTGCACAGACATTTATATTTGTATCAGTGTGCACGTTTGAGTGTGTGTTTGAGCCCGAGGCTTTGAGAGCAGGTATTTCGGTCAATGTGTGCATGTTTGCATATATGTGTGAATATTTGTGTGTCAGTGGCTGTGTGCACTGAAGCTTGTGTGTATACGTGTTCATGTATCAGTGGGTGTGTGTTCTCTAACATGTGTGTGTGTGCATGTTCGCGTGTCAGTGGCTGTGTGTGCATGATCACGTGTGAACGGCTGTGTGTGCATATTTGTGAGTCAGTGGCTGTGTGTGCACTGAAGTTTGTGTGTGTGCATATTTGTGAGTCAGTGACTGTGTGTGCACTGAAGTTTGTGTGTGCATATTTGTGTGTCAGTGACTGTGTGTGCACTGAAGATTGTGTGTGTGCATGTTCGTGTGTCAGTGGATATGTGTGCATGTTCATGTGTGAACGGCTGTGTTTGCACTGAACTTTGCGTGTGCATGTCCGTGTGCTAGTGGCTGTGTTTGCACTGAAGTTTGTGTGTGCATATTTGTGTGTCAGTGACTGTGTGTACACTGAAGTTTGTGTGTCTCAGTCAATGTGTTTGAATTCCAAGCCCCTCTCCCCAGTGCATGCTGTTGTCATTATCTGCCGTTGTCATTCGGGTGACAAACAAATTCTTCCATCTCATCAGTCAGCGATGCAGACGTCAGGGGGAGGAGAGGTTGGTGCTGAGTGCGCAAGACAGGCAAAGCCCTCAGCTCTAGCTTACCACCGACAAGGACAGAATCTTTCACACCTGCAAAAACTGTACTTACTCCCTAGACACAAACAGCACCCTGTGGGGCAAGAACACTAGAGGAGTCTCTGCCAGCACCACCGCGATGAAACATTCCAAAACTAACCCAAAACCTAATCCTACAGCCAACCCAGCAATAACCCCTTGTTTGAGCCCAGACGCTAATCTTCGCATATATCATCCCAGTTATCAGAGCTGCCTGGAGACCTTGAATACAACAGGGCTCTGCATATGATGTACAGCATATGTGTGTCAAGGCCCTGCTGAGCAATGAGTGTCTTCACTGAGCCAGCTACAATATTTGCTTAATCATTTCAATACATATTTCTAGTACCTAGCAGTTCTCTAGGTCTCACTGACATGTAAAAGCTTCTTATAAACCTGCAGGACTCTGGGCTCATGGATCATTTCTGGTTGCATTTAACATACCACTAGTATTATGTTTGTCCATTATTGAACACAAACCTTTCTCCTGAGCTGGTACACAGGAATCAATGCGTTCAGCTACAGGACTACCAGCAACAACAGGCCACTAAGGAGAAACATAGCAGCTGTGCCCCTGCGGCGGGGCTGGCTCTGACCTTTGTTGTGCGCCTCCAGCTGTGACAGCGAGTTGACGGCCACCTTGCACAGTGAGCAGTACAGGAGCTTCTTGGCCTTGTCCTCCTCCGACTCGGTCGGGCTGGCGCTGGGGGCGGTGGGCGCAGGCTGTGGAGGCACCCCGTTGGAGAGGCCTGGGGCGTCGGGGGGCCGGGGGGTTCGCCGGCCAGGGGGGCAGGCTCCCGAGGCGGGAGGAGGGGCTAGTGATGAAGTGCCCCCTCCTGTGGGCGCAGGGAGGAGGGAGCACATGGGCGGTGCTAGAGGCTCCTGGAGGGGTGTGGTCACTGGGAGGATGGGCGGGGGTGGGGAGGGGCCATTCAGCTGTGGGAGGGGTTGTGCATCACCTGGGGAGAGAAGACAGAAAGGTGTTGACAGCCCTGGCACAAGATTTAGCAACAGTTTTCCTAGACACCTTAAACTACATTACTAAAACATCAGCAAATTCAAGACTTTATTGTGAACATTTCACACACTGAATCTTGACATCAGCTCATTCAGATCAGGGATGGACAACTCCAGTCCACAGGTTTGAAAGGTAATCAACATCTGACAACTGATAAAGAACTAAACAGGTAGGTTATCAGACTGGAGTCCTTTCTTTAGAAAGATGAAAACATGCGGGTGGACTGGGTGTGACACTTTGAGAGGCTGAGGGTCCTAATGTTGTGGCCAGTGAGGGCACAATGGAACGCGTAATCTGTATGCAAATAGTGACAATCGTGCTCCAGAGAGCAACACACGCAGGCACCTCTCCTTGAGCAATCGGTGGCAAGCAGCATCGAAAACGGCCTAATTTGTTCTTCCAACCAGAATCCAAAAACAGAAAAGCAATTGCAGAGCAGATCGGAGTTATTTGTTTATCTTCCTGTTCTGTGGGCAACCACTTGGCCGGCACAGAGGCTGCTTCTCATTCTTGGCTTTTCTTGCCCAAACACGAGGACAGAAAAATGTGTGTCCCTCACTCAGATGCCTGCTGTGTGCGCCCTTGGCGTCGGCTCGCAGGGCCTGCGTGCAGGTGGCAGTGGTCTGTCTGGGGGGGCGTGACTGTGTTCCACCAGGCAAAGGCCCTAATGGGCCCGCAACTTTCTTAGTCACATTGTTTCCCCCAAAACGTCTGTTTTTCATGTGGTTTCCAAGATTGAAGGATTTGGTAAATGTTTTCTGTTTTTTAACGGGAAATGGGAAACAGATTCTTCTCTCCCTCCTCGGAAAGCCAAATCTGGGAACATATACACTCCGAGCCAGGGGTCAGGTTTGTTTTTCCTGCCCTGTTTATTTTTGGAGTGGGAGAGAAAGACAGAAACAAGATGCAGAGAAAGCACTCTTTCCACCGGCACATCCCTCTCCCTTTCGCCCAGCTGCTGCACATCATCCCGAGCTGCTCAGCCTGCAGCTCTGCAGCTCTCCAGCATCTACATCAGGCCCTGCACACTACTGATGGGCTAGTTCCTTCTCACCTCTACTGAACCCTAACCGAAATCCTCACCCTACACTTCATGCTTCCCAAGACCCTGTCTCACAAAGTTTCACCACAGGAAATTCTGATATTTCATATTCAATGATTCGTCTTCCTTATTCATATGTACCACAGTAAATGTCCATTTCATAGTATTTTTTTCCTGTATGCTTCACACCAATTTACCCTACTTTGCTCCAGTTTTAAAGTTGTTTTCTGTGACATGCCCTCCGCGGTACAGGCACAGCCTGAGCAGAGCCCAGAACGGGGTGAAAACATGAGCACCCCAGACAGCACGAAGCTGGGAAGTTTGAAAGATTGGGGGTCAGATGGCAAGCTGTGTTCTTACAGGGAGGCAGGCTGGTCAGAAGTTATGCTCTGCGACAGAAGAGTTAGTGCTCTTCCCCAACAGCCCCTCAGTTATCTCACGCCACGGCCAGGGCCTCACACACTCCTCAGGCACAAAGTTTGACACGGTGCCCTTTGGTGCTGTCTCCTGCAGACGGATGCCTGTGTGTATGAGGGGCACAGGATGGGGGAGCCGGGGGTGTGTGGGGGGAAACTCCTATACCGCTGTTCCCCTGAACCCCTCTCCCCCCAACCCCCTGCCCCCGTCCCTGCTCAATCCAGGTGATGTCAGCGCCTGGCTCGGGGCCCGCGGAGCTGGGCTGCGAGGCTGTCTGTGTGGACCAGCGGTATTAATCACAGGAAGAGCCATGTGGTTCGTGTTAGGCTCGGGCGGGAGTGGGGGGAGTGTAGGAAGAGAGTGACAGGGGTGGGCGGGTGGGAGAGCTGTTGCTGGAATGTCAGGGCGGTGCATTAACACGGCAGGACCAATTCATTAGTGCGTCTGCCCTTCCTGCTCCTTCTCCAGAGCCAGAGGGGTGGGGGCATGGCGGCAGGGTCCTCTGCAGGACCCGTACAACACAAAGCCAGCGCTTGGTGGAAGCAGGAATTCCAGTGCTTGAACTGTAATGTCTCCCAGCGCGGCAGAAAAAACAGACAAGTCTCAGCACGGGGCAAACGAGGGGCAGCAAAGGACAGGGAGAACGAGGTATTGCACAGGGAGAACGAGGTGTTGCACAGGGAGAACGAGGGGCAGCACAGGGAGTACGAGGGGCAGCACAGGGAGAATGGGGTGTTGCACAGGGAGAACGGGGTGTCGCACAGGGAGAACGGGGTGTTGCACAGGGAGAACGGGGTGTTGCACAGGGAGAACGGGGTGTCGCA